TTGTTTCGTAGCAGAAGAAAGACTGGTTTTTTCCTAATTTTCTTGTTCAAGACTTAAATGAAAATATAGGCTTACATATGTTACTCTAAAGTTATAAAAGGGATGGAGGGAAAGACTTTTTTTCCCATTGGTTCCTTTCTAAAGATACAGTTTGGTATACTTGGGTACAAGACAGCTTCCTTTAACAAATCTGGACATTTAAGTATGGTGATTAAACAAGAATTATAAAAACCATAACCTCTATGATAAAACAGGGACACTAAAGATTCTAAAACACCCATGAATACACACCTTGATTTCTGACATGGAAGGCATAAACCTTGATGCAGACACCTTTCTCAACCAATTAAGACCAGGATGCCAATTTTTTTCTCCAACCACCCAGCTGCTACAATGTTAAATAAATTATTTTAATCTTAAATCAGAGATGTAATGGAGAAAATGCTGATTTAATATGCAATCTCATTACATTTGACAGGCTTATTTATAAGTGATTTGTCCCACACTTTGACAAGCATAGTTAATATGTTAATTAGCCTTTAAAAAGATGAGAGAAAGAAACTTACATATGATTTCTCTCTATACCCAGCTAAGGAATACTATATATGAGACAAGGTGGCTTTAATGTATTTTTTGGAATGCCAAAGGGCCCTGTGATCACAGCAAAAAACGTATTTCTTGGTCAAATATGGCTTACAGTTGCCTACATTAAAAATGTATCCCTGGTGGCATAGTGCTGTCGAAAACAGATGCCGTCCTGCATGCGTTATGAGACTCAAAAAAGACATAAAAAGCATGCTTAAAGCAATGACCTCAACAACTAAAGCTGGACTCCCCCTACAAGGGATAAGTAAATCAGGGAACTGCTTTCCGACGTGGTATGACTGAATATGGTTTTTATAATATTATACACCCCTTCGGTAAAGATGGTTAAAGATGCTTTCCACAGCCTTGACCCTTAAAGAACTATTAAATGCAAATATTAAGACAAGTTATAGTAGAGGTAATGTTTAACTCCAGCTTTATCACTTAAATCCTCCTTCAAGGAAAAAAAAGGGGGGGAAGGATGAAAGATGATCCCAGCTTCTTGATGCATTCTCAAATGGCCGAATTGGCTGCCAGACTTCTGCTCCCTAAGCATCATAAACTTAAACCAGTAAGTCACAATACACCCTGCCCCATCTACTTCTATCACTTGCTGCCAATCTTAATATGTGTACATTCATTAATATTTTTATTGCCTGTGGCTATTTAAACAAAAACTGGGAGAATATCCCACTGTATGGGGATCATTAATTTTTACTTACTAGCATAAAGGCCTACAAAGGCAAATGAAGTGTAAAAACAGCCCGAAACCACAGCCACCTGCTTCCCCACCACTGTCCATGGGTTAATATTTGCATTGCTCTTTGGTGCAGCTGGGCTGAAGCTCAATTACAGCCCCATTTTCAGGTCTTTGAGAGCCCAGCATTTATGTCATTGATTATGTTAAAGTCAATGCCCCTGCAATCTTTGTTCTAAATGGAAAAGTACATATATTTTATCTGGATGCAGGATAATAATGAAATAGCTTTGTAAGAAAAAAAATGGTTAGGAAAATGCAGTACCAAAAATGAAAAGGATTCAGGAGATAACAGTACAAAGAATGACGGGCATAACAAGGACATAACTCACGATTTTAGGGTTTGGATGTGAACAGCTAATAAATATGAGCAGCTGCTCAAATATAACACATTTGTTATTATTTTCTGGCAAAGAATAATCTTGGCAAGTAGACAAAAGGGCATGTGGGTTCTATGATTTTCTTTCAGATTTTTTTCCGCCCTTCCATTTAAATAAGAGTCTTATTGTGATGGTGCCATTATGTCTCCACTCAAAGTAAATTGGCAAAGGGAATCCAAGCCATCCTCTCCTTGGAGGAAAAAGAGAAACTGGGACAAAACTGGAAACCAAGCCCTATGCATCTCAAGTAGGCATATCACAAATCTATGTAATAAATTTACAATTGAAAGAAGGCAATTCGTAGGTTTTGGAGAAACCTCATCACTTATATATCCATCAGTTTCACAAATACAAGTTTAATATTCAAATGATCCTCCACTTACTGAAATATGACCAGCTTCAAGCCATCATCACTTTCAAAATTATATTCTATAACCAAAGTCCTTAACTGACCTCTCTGGTGGAACCTAGAATTTTCATACTGATGGGACACAGAGGAAAACATCATCACTTGGGAAAGGAATGTACAGAAGCCTGGCTCATGTGTGTGTGTGTGTCTGTGTGTGAGAATGTGGGGGGGGGGGGGTAGGGAGGGAGAGGAAGAGAGGGAGAGAGAAGGCTCTAGATGAGCCTTTAACTCAGCCAGATCTTTTGTTTAAATTATTGTCTGTCTCCTGTTCATGTCCAGTAGTAGCCAAGGTATAAACAGCCCAAAAGGCAAATAGTAGATGGGAGAAAGGGATTGATTTTATCAGCCCCCAAATAATGGGAATCATTATTGCTAGTGCTTTTGAATGTGAACTGCAACAGCACTAAAGCACAAAAAAATGAAGGGATCTATGAAGGAGAAAGGAAACATCAGACAGAGATGAGAAGAGGTTAGGCCAAGAGGCAGAAATACAGAAGGCAGAATGAAGCTGGAGAAATTTCACTAGTATCTATCATCAATGAATTCAGCCCAAGGTCAAAGAACTCCTAACATCAAAGCTCACCACATCTATCAAGGGAAAACAGCAAGAATGCAAACACCATCCAAGCACCATCCAGATGGGAATTTGAACAATAAAGTAAAAGTATGTGCTCAAGTCAAAGAAGGTTAGGCACAGTCGGGGGGAATTAAAGTGCACCACCACCATATGGTGCTGGATCAATAACAGTCACCCTAATGACCACATGTTCAAGGGCAGCAGCAGTGAATCACTGAGAGGTGGAAGCAGAGGGACAAACACATACGAGGTTCTCCTCCTTCTGAGACATATACCAAACGCTCAGTCCTAATATCATGTTCCCCAATTAGCTCTATTTCATCTTTCACCTTTAGGAATCATGTCTCTTAACTTATGGGAAACTCCTGTATCTTTTATCCCATGAACAGTCTTTCTGCAGATCGTAATAAGCAGCTTTTAGAGAAGACAAGGGCAGCTAGGTGGTGCACTGGGCTCTGAATCAGGAAGACTCATCTTCAAATCTGGCCTCAGACACTTACTAGCTGTGTGATCCTGGGCAAGTCACCTAACCCTGTTTGTCTAGGTTTCCATATCTGTAAAATGAGCTGGAGAAGGACATGGCAAACCATTCCAGTATCTTTGCCAAAAAACAAAAAACAAAACCTCAAAAGGGGTCACAAAGAGTCAGATATGACTGAAAGCTACTGAATAACAACAAAAGAGATGACATAGAATGTATTATCATGCAAAGACAATGATTGTCTTTATACCCCAAAGTTTTGGGAGATTGGGTAGTAAAAAGTACACTGGACAGCCACAGATCAAAGCTGGACTCAGGCACTTACTAGTTCTGTGACCTTGGGTGAGTCACTTAAAATCCCTGGGCCTCAGTTTCCTCATCTGCCAAATGAGTGATTTAGATTAGATGGCTGCTGACAAACCCTTTCGCTCTAGATCAATGATCTTATGGTGTGATAATCAAGAATATCAGAAAGGAAACCTGACTTTATCTTGGTCAAACAGATCTCAGCTTTATGAAGAAAAAATACTGTCAACTGCATCCCATGCATCTATCACTTCAGAATACTCCACACCTTGGAGATGTAGCAGGTATCTACAGAAATTGTACTAACAGGAAATTAAATTAAAAATGGCAAATAATAATGGATAAGGCATAATTTCACTTTGGAAAGACTGAAAAAATAAGATAACCAGAAATAGAAATAAAAAATCATCACATCCTTCCCCTTATCCCATTTGTTAAGCCTTGTTATTGACACATCTGCAGCCCCTAAAATATTAAAATTCATGGGAGAGAATTCTCATTAAATAATCCCCAGGTGCTGTGTGAATCAATTTTTGCTCTGAACAAGAAAACAAATGTGGCTTTGGATAGCACTGTTCTATGAAAATGCTTCTAATAACAACCTTAAGACTCCTTGGTCCCTAAAAACAAAGTCATTATCAGGGCAAAACTTTTGATTCAAAGCATGAAATATTTGATTCTTAAGCATTTTTTAAAAAACATGAATCTTTTCTTCCTGTTGGTGTCATAGGTCAGATACTTAATGGAATATCACATAAAATGTAACCTAAGCTAGATTAAACCATCTTAATGTAAGTGTTGGTTAATTTTCTTTCCTTTTTTTGCTGTTCAATTTGTTTCAAATGATTGATGGATTGATGTCAATGGTTTTGAAGAGATTGCTGAATCTCAAATTTTATATTTAACAGTTGGGAAAGAAAAACTTTCCAGGGCCACAGAAGTATTATCTGAGCACCATATGGAACGTAGAATACGATCCCTTCTCTTTTTTAGCTTTTATTACATTCGGGTTGGGGGGGAGGGGAGGAGACACATTTCCCTGATACAAATAGAACAGTAAAATAAGATTCTCTGGGAAAAGAAAACCATTGTGTTGATGGTTAGAAAAATGTCCCAGCCCCTGCTCATCAAGTATCATTACTATACATCATCTGCAAAACAGGAGATGATTAGGGAGTATCCCTAACTCAAGGAAAGAAAAGGAGAGGAGAGGACAGAAGGGAAGGAAAGGGTAGGCGAAGAAAGGGGAGAAGAGGGAAGAGAAGAGAAGAGAAGAGAAGAGAAGAGAAGAGAAGAGAAGAGA